GGGCTGGAGGGACTGTTAGACAGCATTTTTCAGTAATCTCAATTTGTTTTAATTTCTTTTGTTTCCCCTCCTTTTTCATATCTTAAGTTTATTTTTTATTTTAGGTTTATTTTTTCATATATTAGGTTTAAATAAACCTAAAATATGAAAGAGGAGGGGAAACAAAGGAAATAAAAACAAATTGAGATTACTGAAAAATGCTGTCTAACAGTCCCTCCAGCCCACCCTTCCCAACCTCTCAGTGAATACTATTTTTTACTTGGTTACTTTACTTAGATTATTTTGTGTTAATGGATTTAATCCTGTATTAACTTACCTGTAATATATGTAGTTCATGCATCATTTTTCTGATTAGCATAGTTATAGCTATTTGCCATTATCAGGCCCTTCCGATAATTTTGCGAAGCAAGATGACAGCTCACCCTCAGCTTGATATAGAATTTCTGGACCATTGGTTTACTGAGAAATAGTTTTGGGGCAGGAATACCTTTCAAAAACAAAAAGGAAATCTGAAAATACTATCAGATTAATCTTTGACTTCAGATACTGTGAATAGTAGGAATAGCTGTTGTAGTCATGGGAACTGACTCGAGGCTGATTATGTTAGAACGAATGAAAGAAGAGGACGAGTGCTCTCACTGTGTCAGTAAAGCAGCATGTATATTTTCTCGCTTGCCCATATCTTTGGGAAAAGAAAGATAATCTTTAAGCCATTCCATTTGTTTCTGGTGGGCCTCACCCCATCAGCTGGAGAAGAAGAGAAAATAATGTAATAGGACACAGAGTTTACTTTGAGAGGAGGGCAGGGAGAAGAAATAATTGGTATTTTAATGAATTGTAGCCTGAAGAAGACAAAATATGGTTTATTTACCTTTCTATCTCCAATGTAGTCTATTGGTAGTGATTGAACCAATTTCATTACATCTTATCCAAGAGTTCAGGGATTGATTAGGCTGAGAGATTGTAACTCGCTGTTTCCCAATGAGCTTTGTGGTTGAGCAGGAATCACAACATGGCTCTTTTTGGTTCTTACTTTTGATTTAGATCTACGACTCTAAACAGAGTCCTCATACTCAATTTGTTTCTGAATTCTTTCTGCAATATGTAAAAGAAGATTTCTAGACCTTTTCTTTTTTAAGGGGAAGCAGAGTTTCAATACAGTTTTGTGTGAAAGTGCATAGGCTGTCAAGATTTAAGGAAAAATCCCAGCAGTGAAATTTGTGAGTCTACTTCACATAAAAATACATTTTGACTGTAGATCACAATTTAAATAGCTTGCTGAATCAAAGATGTAATTTCCTAACATATGTGTGTGTGCTGAATTGTGTTTTTTATTTTACATTTGTGAAGCTTCTGTGGGAAATGCTTGTATTTGACTTTTGTGAATTGCTGTGAAATGGAAATCTTGTTGGCAAGCAGAGTACTGCAGACTTGCCTTTTTACTATGTGGTTAATTCAGATTTATGTCACTGGCTTTACCAGAAACAGTGGTACAGCTTTCTTTGAACAGAAAAGCCTTTGACAGTCTGCCTTTGACGTGATTGTTTACAGCAGCCGGTGATAGTTGTGTACAATGGGAGATTGAGAACACAGCAGAAAAAAGACAGGAAGAAAAAGCCAAACAAAAATATCATACATCTTTAATTTCTTCCTGCACTGTCCTTATATCATTGTTGGTAAATGTTTTATTTTGCTGATCTTTTTTGGCTGTAATAAGATTTGATTTGATTCTGTTACACCTATGTAAATCAGGTAATCGATCATGTGACTAATCCTGATTATACATGAATCCTTAGGGAATGTAAGCAAGATGTGGTTCCCAAACACATGCCTTGTGTTTTGATGATTGCATTAAAAGCCCTTGTGGAATAATTTTCATTGGTTGTAAGCAGAGCCTTTAAAGAAAAAGGCTCAGTGCAAGGGTAGAAATAAAGGCGGGTGGGGGTGGAAATCTTACTGTACTACTGAAATGCACCGTTAGTTTAAGCAGTAATAAGGTTTATTGCAATAGATAGAAGGAGTTTCCTAAAAGAAGCAGGGCTTTTATTCTGAAGTGGCATAGCAGCTGTTGCTTGTTGCAGTACAGAGCTGCAGATCCGACTGGGTCACACAGTGCCGTGTCTGTTTTCACGCTGCACTGGGCTGAGAGTGGCGCAGGAACATACAGTCTTCTACTGTGTTTGGCTTCTCTGAAAAACCATCAGTAATATTTTAACTGCGTAATGGCTGTTGGGGATGGTGAGTACCACTTTCATTTTTAGTTATTTTCATTTAAACATAATGGTGAAGAAAACATTGAAAATAACCGTGCAGTTCATATAGTTATTATGCAGGTTTGAATTTGTGCACTTGAATGTTGAAACAACCTTGCCATGGTAAGCATGTCAAATCCATGTTGTACCATAATTTATATATGATCTGTTTTTCCAGATTTCAGTTTAAATTAGGTTTAAGCAGAAGTACAAGTAGTATACATAGAGAATAGCTGTTTCTTTCAATTGTGTGTCTGGTTTTATGTTTTGAGAAGCTGAACGTGTCATCTTACCTAGCTACAAATTAGGGTAAAAGTATCCTTAGTTTATTATGATGCTATACTTTTTTTCAAGTAAAAAGGGGGATAATCTTTTAA